GCGTAATTTTTCATAATTAATAATCCATTTTATTTTACAATTTCATAATTTATTAATTTTTTATTTAGACATTTTGGCAGCAATGAAGTATCTTCTTTAAATTATAGCAGAATAAGGTGTGAGATTATTAGATTATTTTTATTGTTACTGGGTTTTGAAAGAAGAATATTACTTTATTGATTATATTGACTGTCAACTATTGTGTTTGGATAATATATAGACATATTTTTTTTTTTCTAAAATCAAATCGGTTTAAAACGGCTATGTGTATGCAACGTAATACTTGACAGGTAAATTTTAACATATTTACTTTATTAAAAAATTAATGAGTTAATAAACTCTTCGTCTTTGTAACGATAAAACATTTAGTGACTTTGAAACTCAAGTAAACACATTGTAACAGGATTTACTTTATCTAACGCCATTTAAACATATTAAAAAATTATAAGGCAAATATTAATTTTTATCAAGTGCTCTTTACAAAAAAAAAAAATCTCTGCTATGTTAAATTATTCACTTTTGTCCGACTATGTTTTTAAAGTTATTTTACTAATCTATTTTATTTGTAAAATATAAAACCTAATTATTTTCTTATATTTATATTATTGTCTACCATAATTTATTTACCTATTATTATCATTAGTATAATAATTATACCTATTATTTCCTATTTATCAATAGTTTTATAAAATATTGTCAGTACGTCAGTAATGCGCTATTGCTCATTACATTTTAAAACATATGAATAAATAAATTACAAACCATTAATTTACAATCCATATATCATATTATGTAGTACTATAATATGAACCTAAAATGCATTTTGTTAATTCAGGAGACGTAAATGTAAACCAAAATCTAGCTATTGCGTTGTTTCAAAATTTATTTCTAAGATTCCACAACCATATTGTTGACAAGCTGCTAGATAATCATCCTTCGTGGACAGATGAGACGGCCTATCAAGAAACCCGTAGAATCATCGGCGCTGTTATTCAGATAATAACCTACGATCATTTTATGCCAATTATATTAGGTAAGCTAAATAAATCGCGTAGTATCATTGTATAGATGGTTCATAATATGAACTCGTATCGATTTCAGGTGAACAGTATATAAAAGAATACGGATTGAATAGAAAAACGAACTATGATTCAACGATTTCCGTCGCTGTGGCTCAAGAAATGACTCATGGTGCGTTTCGCCTGATTCATAACATGATTCCTGCTAGATTTAAGTACGTTCAAAACAGTTGTAATGTTTATAAACTTGAACGTTACACCGTTTTTATTGAAAATATCAAAATTTTTTTATATCATTTGATTTCAAAAATATATTATTATTAGTAGTGATAATCGTAATCGTTGGTGATTTCTTGATAGTCATTTTATTAACGATTCGATGAAAATACTTCAACTTTTAAGGTTATTTACGAAAAAAATCAAAATATCTTTTTATCATAATATTTAATTATGTTGTTGCGTATCACGTCATAAGTGTTCTGTCAAAGCAATTGACGTGCGATCCAAATAAAGATAAATGCGTCATTCTCTGGTGATGGGCTTTTTGTTCATAATATATTTCTATAATGCATAGCTTTGTAAATACTAGCTAAATGAGTTTATTATTTCGAAAAAGATCTACCATGATCTGCTCTTAAGCTTTTATCCGTAATTTGGAGGTTTTTCGATATTTTATCATTATGATGAGTTATTATGGTTAGTATGATGGTCGATTTTATACTACTGACTAAATGTTCGTGGTCCGCAATAATTGAATAACTTAATGAATATTTGGTGATGTTAATAAGATGTGTAAGTTTAAAATAGATAACTCAACCTGCAACCGCAACATATTAGTTCTAAAAAATTTTATTACACAAAACACAATACATGCATAGAAATAATGATTTATACTTTTTCGAATATAATTAGAAAAAATATAATACTAGATTCAGGTTAAGGGGCTAGTGTAATAATTGATGATTTTGGATAAACTGTTTTTTTTACGAAACTAATATTTGATGATTATTGTTGATATTTTTTAGTTACATGTCTAGTAATTACACTGTTTATGAAGTCGAAAAACCTTCCGATTCATTTTTGAGACCAGATTCCATGATTGGTAATGTCGATGGGTTCCTTAGAGGCTTATTGAAAACTCCTGGACGTGAATCCCGACCAGTTTACAATGATCTTGTAATTACTAGTCAATTTTCAAACTTATATTCCTATTAAATTACATTAATTTTTTTTCTGTTTGCAGATATCAAATATTGTAATAAAAACTCCATTAGTCAATACTACCGGATTCGACTTGCTTTCTTTCGACATACAACGCGGTCGGGATGTCGGTCTCCCTCCATATACTAAACTAAGAACAATTTGTGGGATAACAGAATCAAAATCGTTTGATGATTTATCAGATCTTATACCATTAGATGTAAGTATAGCGCATTAGTACCTAAACGTTTTCCATAGTTATTATTGTTATCATTACAATATAAGAATTATAACATGTAATTTATTTTTCCATAGAAAATTGTGCAGTTGATGATATCGATTTTTTCATTGGAGTCTTATTGGAAAATAAAATTAACGGTTCTATGGTCGGTCCAACGGGTAGTTGTATAATCGCTGATAGTTTTCGTCGAATAAGAAATGGTGACAGGTTTTTTTATGATGTTCAAGGACAACCCGGAAGTTTTACTTCAGGTCTGTAAAATAAAATAAAATTACCATAATGAAGAGAATTTGATGAAATTTGATGTAAATCTTATTTTTTATTTTCCACTTACTACCAAAGAATTAAAAAAAACAATATTTAAATTTTCGGTAACTATTCTAAATGATTTTGAATTGTTATAAGAACTAACCAAGATTTAATAACATAAAGTTTTAGTTAGAAATTATGAAGTTATTATTTTTATTATTGATAATTTTAGAACTTTTTACTATTGTATTATGTTATAATATCATAATAACAAGTGTTTTCAAAGATCCATTTGAACATCAAATTCCGTTATAATTATTACTAATTTTAAATATTTTGTTTTTCAGATCAGATAAGTTCGTTGAAAAAAATAACGCTTAGTCATTTGATTTGTGCGACATCGAATGTAGATCACGTTCAAATGGATACATTTAGCTTAATCGATCATATGTAAGTAAATACGCAATTTTTAAATTTTTATTTGTATATTAATTAAACGTGATTATATATTTTTAGACGATTGATGAAACTCAAGTCAAACTGCACAACGTACAAAATTGACTTGAGTGCGTGGTGAATAATTAAAACAAAACGATAAAACAATATCACTATAAATAGTTATTATCTATGCAGTAAGAATGCTTAAGGTCTGCATATGAAAATTTATTAGTAATCTAAAAAGAATATGAAAAGCAAGATCAATCAAATTATGTATAACAAACAGCTAATATTTTTGATGTACTAATTTAAAATTTTCGATATATTATAAATTAACTTCGTGTATAGTTTATTTATATAATTTTATTTTTAAATAAATGCAATTATTATTTTGTCATGATATAATCAGTACGACATGGTCGTTATTAGATTAGTAAATTGCTAGTCGTCTGCGATGATAGTTACGTTGTTAATCTGACAAATAAAAATACATTTTCTAAATAAAGCCTATTACAATTTTAAACCTTTTTTATTTGATCACATTTAAATACTGTATATTTGAACTCTTATATAGCCAGGGAAAGTTTTGGGTAACCTAAACCCACTCTTCTTTGCTTTTTTTATTTTTTTTTTAAGATACGTAGTGGATAGTAGTGGATATCAGTTGCGTTTAAATTCTAAATATTTAGTAGAGTGAAAATGATTTAAAAATACCACATAATCTAAATACCTCTCATTCTTTTAACGGAGTTTTATTAGAATATGTGTTATTTCAAATATCCTTACAAAATTAATCAAATTTCATTGAAAATTACGTCATCTTAAGAAAAAATGTATGGGTATATAGTAAATATTGAGGACTATACAAATACTAGAATACAATTCGTATTTTTACAGTTGCGAAAAATTAGGGAAAAATGTTCGACAATATTTCTCAATCATTTGGAAAACCGTCAAAACTATGGGAAAATGTAATATAAATGTAATATAATTAATAATATAACGTGTAACAGGAATGAAATAAAAATAGGTTAAAAATATTACATGTCCATATGATTTGTGTATTAACTAGAAACTAGTATATTAAACTTTGTAGACGCCATGGCATTAATATAGATCTATTTTTATCAACATATATGTTATCATGTATAACATATTCATAAACTTTGAAAAAATCAATTAAATCAATAAAATAATGAAATTAAATCAATTTAACAAAAAAAGAAAAAAAATCATTGAATCATATTATTAAAGAGTTCAACGATTTAATGTGATTTTTGACATTGCTTACCCCCACGAGAGAATCAATGTCAGAATTAAAACTGAAAAGTTTAAGCCTTAAATAACTTTCAAAATTCAGTTTATTCCTATATTTATTTTTAAAGTAGAAAAATAGCGTTCACACAGACACACAGATTGTCGAAATATACCCCAACAAGTTTCTGCTTGTTAAATACTTATTGCCTAGCAAATGCAATTTTAGGGATTGCTGGATAGTCTTGCCGAATATTTAACCAAAATGGTGATAATGGAGTAATTTAAAAAAAAAACGGTTTTAGAGTCTGATATATGATAATTCAATCAACAAATCTTCTTCAGTTGCTGATATTTAATATTTTAAAAATATACGTTAATAATATTAATATTATATTGTTCACAGCCCAGTATCACCCTGCTTGCAGCCTACAAGTGCTAAGGGATTTATTTATACGTGTATATATGTATGATATAAAGGTGGTTGCATAATATACAATATTTAATGATGTAGTTTTTCTGCTTCATACTCTAAAATATTATACGAATATAATAACACCAACATTAATAATTTCACTATTATTTGATTAAAGCTGCTGTTTCTTTGTAGTAAAATTAAATTAGTTTTAATAAATTGAAACTAAAAATCCAAGCGAGGCTTATTAACTAATTTAACTGTAAAATCTTGTGATGGTTTTTCGAGTTCCAACATAACAATGGTGTTTAATCCAGGAACTAAAAATGGTGCTGGCACATAAAGTGTAATTTGTGGGCCGACTTCTGGCCAATATCTTCCAATTTGTATGCCATTGATGAATGCAATGCCCTAAAAAAAAATACATTCAACTTAATTTAACTAGGTAATTTGAAAATTTCAAATGGTTTTAATTTAATAGCTTGTAATAAAGTGTACAGTTTAAATTAGATCATTTCAAACCAAGTTGGAAAATTTTAAGTGATTTACATTAAAACCGTTATAGATAGCGAATATACTATCTGAGAAAACAAACCGTATGTATGGTAAAAAATAAAATAAAAATAAAAGTAAATATATAAATATCTAAGGAACTTAGAATATTTAATAAATGCAATTATAACACAAACTTTTGACCATCCAGTTGTATCCAAATATGTGTCTAAAGGTTCAGGGTAACTATTATTTTGTGGTATAGTGAAAACTCCTCTGTAAAATGCAGGTGCACTCACGCCAGGCTGCAATATTTGAGATTCCAACCATGATGTATCATTCAATGGATATCCAAACATAACCCATGGACCTAGGGTATGATTTCCAAGGGTCACATTCGACAAAATTCCCTAAAAACAATACGTTAAAAAATGCATTCCATTTAAATCGTTTAAACCTACCTTTCTATCTTTTAAAAACTTGAGGTTATTAATTCTGCCTTGATTTTCAACTAGAATGCTTAGTTTCTGACTACAGTTAGTTGTAGGCATTTCCAACATAGTATCTCCATTGGATCGGCTCAAAGTTCCTATTTTCGTCTGCAAGAGTATCAAAAGTTTATCAACGGAGTTTTTATTACAATTACATTTTTAATTTTTATTTAAAGCCTAGTTAGGCCGTAGAAATATGTAACTTGTAGTTTTATATTATTTCAATGAACACGCACATAGTTTAAAAAAATAATCGCTCGATCATGAAGAACCTCGATGACTAGTGGTAAGTGGGTTAATCGTTCGACTGGAGGCAAATTAGTTTCGTATAACACTAGCCCATAATTTAAATCCATATCTTCAAAGCTTAATGGTATTTCGTTTTTAATAGGTTTTAGCCGTCTTGAAGTTTGATCTAATAGACTTATCACTGGTGATAAATTCACTGTTCCATAATTTCCTTTTGGAGCCCGTTTAGGCGTCGAAGTGGTTGGGTAATTCTAAACAAAAAATCATACTTATAAACAGTGTTAGGAATAGATAATGCAAAACTTATCTAGATAAAGATAGTAGATAAAAAAAAAAATGATATTTTCAAAAAATGTTATTTTTTGGTCAATATTTCATATTCTAATAATATCTATGAAGACTCAATTATAATCATTACTATCAATAGGTATCTAGGTGTTTAATGTTTATTGCAGTAATGTAGTATTTATTGTATTATTAAAAAGTATTTATATATAATGTACAATATGATATATAGTTACAATTTGATTAATCACTAAAATGTTACATAAAAAAAAAATAAATAAAAAATTGCTCTGTATGTATCAGGATGAATACAAAATACATAAAAAATTATTTTAAGTTGACAATATTGTTTTCCATATAATATTAATTTGATGATTTTCATTATTCTATAAGTAGTTACGACTTTACGGGTTCCAAGAGTGAAGTAATGACTATTCAGCGTATGAGTAACATTTGTATATTAAAATCAAATACCTACTATATTTGGAACTTCCGTGGAAAAATAAGAAATTTTGTTTAAAAATACCAAAAATATTTTCCCGACATGAAAATACAAACAAAATGTCATACCAAGAAATAATAATTATTTGTTAATAATACATGAATTATGATTATGAATACAAAATCTATATGTATAAAAGAAAGTCAGATTAGTTATAGAATTTATAATTAAAGAACGGCTGGACTAATTTTGATGATCTCTGATTTGTTGGAATCGTCTCCATACAAGAATAAAAATAACTCTAATCTTGGCAAGAATACAGACAATTATCTAGATAAGTAATTAGATAACTTAGCATTATTTATCTAGATAAGATAAAAGATGACAAAAAATCTATCTAGATAATTTATCTAAATAAGTCCCAACACTGCTTATAAGACATATGATTAATTAGTTTATTATTTTTTTTTTTTTTTATTTAAGTTATAATTTTCTTATTAGTAATGGACCTTTCATTGTATAATAGATTATGTTCCGTATATTTATAGAATTTTAATATTTTTTTCAACTTTAGGTACTGGCAAAGAATATTTTATAACTATAAAATGATAAGTTATTATTTATGACCAGTTAAAAAGTGGTTATAGAACATAATATTATCAAATTGATAACGTTAGTTTGTGTATTTTATTTGATTTTAAATTATTTAATTACCGCTTCTTTAAGAGTCTGTTTAATATGTAAATATTTTTCAGTCGGATCACCTGCTTCGTCAAGAGGAGCCGTAAAATCATACGAAGTCAATTGAGGCAAGTAACCCGCTCTCTCTAAATCCAATATATTATTTGTACTACTAGCTCCTGTTTTTAATCCAAAATTGGTTCCGCCGTGGAACATGAGTAAGTTGAACGATGCATTAATTGAGAAAAAATATTTCAATCCTTTTATTATGTCTGTTGAATATACAGGTGATCGTGATATATTCCAATATGCCACCGAACCCGTGTAAAACTCAGAACAGACTAAAGGCCCATTCCTCTGTACCTGTCTCAAAATCTTGAAACACTCGGTAACTATAAATACATAGATTAATGATTACGTCAAATCTGTGGACGAAATAGATTATATTTCCAAATATTTACACTAGATTTATGAACATAACTTATTTAATCATTATTGTATAATCGTAACAGAATAACTGTAAACAGATTTTAGCAATTATTTAAATAACAAATTATCAATTATAATTTACTTACCATTAGCCGTTGGCAAGAAATCGACTGTAGAGAGTACATTTGGTATATGGCCACATTGCATTGCAGACAGTTCACATTGATCAGTGGTGAAGAAGACAGCGTTATCGCCAAAATAATATTCTGTCAAATTCTTAAGCCATAATATGTAATTTTTATCGCAATATCCTAAATCATTGACTCCATATTCGTTTTCTATCTAAGGAAATATATTATGCTGTATACGTTTTGTGTTGACATGATCAAGTAAATATACGAAAAGTAAATATAGTAAATATAGTATATATAGTAAATATTCTCGTATAAATATATTTTTCTTTCTTTTCTCAGCTTACCGGTCCATTTAGGACCATTGCTGCCTTTAACAGATCTCTCCATATCTCTCTATTGTAAGTTAACTCATATATCACGTTCTCGTCTATGGCTTTCAAATATATATAATCAATTTCATTTTTATTTGACTTTTTTTTTTTTTAATATTTTTAAACCATAAGAACAAAAACAATTTTAAGCAATAATATTTTGTGCATTAAATTATTAATATCCGAGTAAAACTTTATACTAAAGTTATAATTTCGGTAATAATAGTTTTAATAATTATTATTATAACAACATAATTTGTTATATTATCTTACTCACTTGTACCATGATAATGTTACCTCCATTTCCATACAAAAAAGGTACTATTTTTGGCATTAATACAGAAAACCATCGTTCTACATACTTTGTATAGTCTGAAAATATAGATTTTTCTATTTATGAATATTTATGAGTACTATTACTGTAGTATTACTTGAGTCTGAAGATCTCAGGTGTATATTATGGTCTTTTAATAACCAATATGGAAGACCACCCTGCAATAATGTAAATATTTAAAGATTACTATAAAAATAGTTTGAACATAAGTCGCAGTGGTCGCGAATAAATAGCTATTGAAATAATTTAGCGTCTGTGCCATTTTTACAATTGTTATGTTTATTTTAAGGAAATTGATAGTATATGATCACAGTTAATTTTATTTGGCTGTTACCATAATGTATAAAATGGTTCGGAAGTCGATACCCCGATATTAAATTTTTGCTATGGCGACTTGATCATAAAAAAGGCTTAATTAATTAATAATTTGTTTCTTCGTGTAAAAATTATCAACTTCATTATATTATTTCTAAAAAAGGTTTTCTTTAATAATATGAAACTATTTAAATAATAATCAGTACACGCAATGTTTCTTAAGCCACAACATACATTTATAAGGGTAGTGCTTAATAAAGACTACAGTTATTCAACCGAAAAAAACTATTTAAAAATTAATCTATTATAAACTTATAATGTAAAATAAGTAGAATAGGTGTACATAAAAAATAAAAATAGAAACATAATCGTATATGAACAGTAATAATGTATTAATTAATAATTTGATGTAATATATTTAATGTACTCACGAAATCTCTTTCGGATGCAATGAACGGCCCGGGTCTGATAAGTACTAACATATCTTCTTCTTTCAATATCGTTAAAAAATGCTCAAAGTCAGCTTGCCCGTCAAAATCGTAAATACCTGAATATGGTTCGTGAAAACTCCATTCAATGTAACTAAAAAAATAAATAATAATTAACCCCGGAGAAGTGTCGTTGACTTTTTGACCTAAGCTATTTTTGATTAAACAATTTTTTTTTTTTTTTTAAGGCTTATTCTAGGCCATTCAGGTCCATTGCCACTTTTGCTATCTCCCTTCATGCATCTCTATGTTCTGCCAGTTCTTCGTTTGTAACTCCCAGTATCCTGAGATCATCCTCGACTCGGTTCTTCCACCGTTGTCTAGGCCTTCCCCTCAGCCGAATTTTGTTTGGTTTCTATTTTGTGATGGCCTATATGGTATCGGTTGGTCTACTGTTCTCCAGACGTGTCCAGCCTATCTTATTTCCTGGATCCTGAGTATGGTCGCTATATTGGGCTCATTAAATAAACTATTGAGTTCTCTGTTTGATCTTATTTCACATCCGTCTTCTTTATTTCTCTTTGGTCCAAATATTCTGCGCAGGATTTTCCTTTCAAAAATCATTAATTTATTTTCGTCAGATTTAGTAGACGCCCATACTCCATAAACATACAGTACAATTGGTTTTACGAGGGTTTTATAACAATCTTATTTTTTTTCTTGATAATTTTTTAGATTTAAATAATTGTATTTGTGAATAATAGCATTTGTTGCCTGCTGTGATTATTCTATATATTTATTTGTGGCTATCTGCTTGCGAATTTATATCTACTCCTAGGTATTTAAAGTTCTAAACTCTTTCAAATGACATGTCTTTTACTGTTATAACGTTTTGTGGATGTTCTCTCCTAGATACAATCATGAATTTGGTTTTTTTTTTTTATTAATGGTAAGTCCAATTTTTCTCACTTCTTTACTTAAAATTTCAGTTGTTCTCTTTAGTCTGTCCTCTGTTTCTGCTATTACAACTATGTCATCTGCATATGCGGCCAATGCTATCTGTTTTCCTTATCCTATATCCATATTTTGTGGTTGGCTTTGTAATATTCTTCTAACTACTGATTCCAACGCAATATTAAATAAGCCCGGAGACAGAGCATAAACCTGTCTTACTCCTGTATTTATTGTAAACTCCTCTGATATTACTGAGTTGAACTTCACTTTGCACCTTGAGTTTATCATACATGCTTTAACAATCCTAAAAAGTTAAGCTGGTATTCCTAGTTGGATCATTTCATTCCATAACGTATCTCTTACTGTCGAGTCGTAGGCTTGTTTAAAGTCCACAAATAGTAAGTACACATTGTTGTCAAATTCATGAATCTTTTCCGTTATATGCTTGATAATGTGTGTTTGGTCAGTGGTAGATTTTCCAGCTGTAAAACCGGCTTGATATTCTCCTACTATCTCTTTAACATACGGTTTTAGTCTATTTAAAATTATGTTCGAGAGAACTTAATATGATGTGTTAAGTAAGGATATAGACCTATAGTTTTTACAATTCATTACATATCCTTTTTTATATATTGAACAATTTAGTTATTAAAATTAACATTTTAGTTATTGAAAAAGTGGTTCAATAATTATAAGTATTTTACTCACGTCGAAACAGTATTCAGACCCGCAGCTTTCATTTTGCGAATTCTATCACGCCAATATGATCTGGGCACTCGGAAGTAATGCAATGATCCTGAGACGTATTGAAATACTTTGCCGTCTTTGATGAACTCATTGTTTTCGTAGTCGATATAAAATCTTCTTTCACCGCTCTAGAATAATTTGAATAGGTAATAATTATTTTTTCTTAAACACATTTGAAATTATTTTAAACCTACAGCATTTTTATCCATAATTAACTGAATTTATGTCAATGTGTGAAGTAATTAAAAAATTCAAATCACAATATTTATATCCTTTTCTTAGGAGTGATAATATTAAATTATATATGATTTTCCTAAAATGTGTGCATCCTATCATTTGTTTCGGAATATATTTACTGAATATTTGGCTAATTGGCAGTATAATATTATATAAATAACAAATATAGGTACTATGAAAAAAAAAAACACGATTAAATATTTTAATAAAATGATTAAATTCAAATACAAGTGACATCTGTGTAGGCGCCCAAAATTTCACGGTTTTAAACGTATTTTAAACAAGCTTGGGCATAAACGAGTTAATGAGTTAAAAGTTAAGTTAATACAACTTATTAACTTAACTTATTTAATTACTGATAAATTAACTTAACTTATTAATTTAACTCATTTCCTTACAAATTAACGTAAAATTAACGTATTATTTTTTCATTTATCCCTATTGAGTTAATTTTGATTTTCAAGACCAGAAATATATTTTTGTAAAATACCGCATTTGATAACAAGTTCATGGAATTTGAAAAAATATAAAAATAAAAATTTCGAAGAATTTTTAGATGAGACTCTAACCGGTATTAAATATTAATTGAGGTTCCACGGATCCCGGGAAAAGGATTTTATAAAACTATAAAAAGTATATGCAAGGTATGATTTAATTATTATATTATTATTTTATTATAATAAATACAAATTAAGAGGTATTTAGAACTTTTTGAACCTTTTTTTTCTTCTAGAGGCTTCTCGACCCCCCTCCCCTTATTCAAAAATTCCAATCAATTAATAAATAATAATAATAATTTATTATGAAGGTACTACAAAAACAAAAATTACTTTTTAGTTAACAATATAAAAATATTTGTATACAAAATATATAACCATTAACAAACAAAAAGGACAAAGCAATAATTCTGCAGAGACATTCGAAATATATTATAAAATAAATGTTTATTATCCTTTTCTTGACTATGTAATAAGCGAATTAGCAGCCAGATTTTATAACCATCAAGAAAAGATTGGAAAGCTTCATATCTTACTGCCAACATTTACGAAAAATAAGAATGATGCTAAAAAAAAATTGACAGAAATCCATAAGATATATCTCCTAAATGAAAAACTTGAAAATTTGTTGAGTGACAATCAATTATGGACTCAGAAGTCGAAAGAAATAAGTGATGACTTAAATTAGTTAAATGCAATCAAAACATTGGAAAAATGTGATTAACTATTTTTTTCTCACATTTATACTCTTTTTAAAATGTTTGCTACTCTTCCTGTGTCTATTGCATGAGCGGAACGTTCCTTTATAGGTTAAAACGCTTAAAGACGTATTTACGAAAAACCGTTGGTGAAGAGCGACTTACTGGACAAAAATGTATAAAAACGTAATTGTTGTTATGAGAATTTTATTGAACAATATTTTAGTTAATTACCATGCTTTAAACATACTACGAATGATTTAAATAAGAAATAAAGTATTATTTACATAATTAAAGCATAAATAAAGAAGAAAAAAATGTTGGAAAATATTTGATATTTTTTTTAATAATTATATTTTTGTTAAAATTAATTATAAAATGATTGGGAAAAAAATCTTAACAGTTTAATTATAACATTAATTACAGTACATTGTAACTCTGCAAAAATTTGGAACAAACATATTTAAACTGAATCAATACATTTCATTTGAAGCTAAATTATGTAATTTTAAACGAATATTGTGCTAGTAAAATATTACTCAAAATAATAGATCATTAATAGGATTTAGTATATACCCAGTCTTGTAAAGAAGACTAAATATACATTAAATATACATTCCATTAGAACACTATTCAATAAAGGCGTATTATATTAAAAATTACATTTTTTATAAAAGAATTATCATGCAAAGTTAAATTCTTTGTTAGGCTATTAGAAAAATAATTCAAAATTTAATATTCTACAGAGTTATTGATTATTTTATTGTTAGATAAATTAGAAAAAAAATTATTTAATACATAATCAGATTGCTCTTTATTATAATTCACTTCTGTTGTACAATCACCTTCCACTTTGGCAGAAAACTTGAAAAATCCATTACCTCCTTATTAAACTGATAAATAGCGAGGTCTCCTAATTTTTTATCCAATCAGTTTTAAAGAGAGGGTGAGTTATGACAGCATAAATTATCACCATTTAACGAATTTTTCATGTTGATACTATATTTTATGTTACTAATAACCATTTATCAGGGTTATAATTTATTTATGAAAACAGATAATTTTTTTTTTTCGAATTAAGTATTGAAATACTCGTATAAAATAAAAATATTAAAAAAACATACTCAGAATACGTATTTGAATGTGTTTCGAATATTAATGGAATACAAAATAATTAATAAAAAACTTTTATTCGAATGCTCCATAAGACTGTAAATACCCGTAATCTAAGCATGAAAATTTAATAAAAATAGTTGAGAAATAATTATTAATATATATAAATAATTTATAAATTATATTTAGTTTAATACCACAGCACGTTAACCACTGGCGTATACACGTGTGTTTGTAGCATTGTCGATTTACGGAAGATTACACCCGTAGTAATTATTTGAATAACACAACATCTGATCAATAAGATCTATGAAGTTATAAGAAGCTATATGAATTAACGGAGTTTAAAAGTAAGTAATACACACCTTTATGGTCTCAGCGTTGTCTTTTTGATTTTCTTTCTCGTTCAAAGTGCATAAAAGATAAAATATAGCACCAACTACCAGTATACCAACTATAACTACTCCATAGTGCTTCTTGAAGAAATGTATATTCCACTTTTTATCCACATTTTTTTTTTTTTAATAATGAACTGAAAACAGATAACACATTTTTCACTTTTTCACTTTTATAAAATCATATCCTATTTTAATTTAGATAATTAATTGTGAATTCTAGTAACTATGATGGATATCTCACATAGTTATAGCATGTAATAATACTTCATTTTTTGTTATTAATTTATTAAATTTTATGTCAAAAAAAATAATGTTATAAGTCGTATTGAGCAAACTATAATGTGAAAAGGTTTTACTTACTCATTTTCGTTATTTTGACTCGTAAAGATCATTTTATGACAGTCTCGTGTTAATAATGGTTTGTGAAAATAAAAAAATTAAAATAGTCAACTAATACGCGAAGTAAATATTACGTTAAACATTTATAAAACAAATATTAACTTGATTTACATTGTCTTAAGTGTAATTTTAACATTCTAAAAGAAAATACTGTTGTTTGATTTTGTCCATACGGAATCGATCAAAAGTGGTGACTCTGCAAATTGTTCTTTTGCGAAGAATTCTGCAATCAGAAATACATAAAATATTACATTTTATAATTTTAATAATATGAATTTAGAATATATTAGACGTAGAGCGTTAAAGAATAAGATACTACGGTAATGGTGGTAACAACATCAGTCAAATTACATTTTACATACCTAGTATGTTTCTTTAACTATGTAAAGCGGTAATTTATGCTTCTTTTAACTCTATATTTATTTGTTTTATTAGCTTACGCTATTGATAAGAATGAGTTAAATAGCGGTTCGGTTTAATTACAATATTTGTTTATCTAACAGAATGCGTGTCGTAACATCACGGCTGACCGAGTTCAACTGATATTCCTAAATCATCGGGTTGTGTTAACATAGAACAATGCGAGCAAAATTTAAAGTTACAAATTAATTAGAATCGTTAAACGTTAACGATTACGAAATAATTGAACGTATACAATTACTATTCAAAACGAATATGTTTTATGGTATCAAGAATGTATGAGTTATAATATCACCGAATGGTGAAACTTACACAACGACCGAAAGAATGTTCTATGGGTCTACTGTTTGGTGTTGTGACGAGGTGCGTGCATGTGTTTAAATCCGCGCCCAGTGCGATTATTACAACCGGTCCGACGAACGTCCGAGTGGGAACTAGTTTTGTCGTTTCACAAACGGTCGTAAAAGACGTTGCCTACGTGCATGGGGCAAGATGCGACCAGGTCGGAGGATGTGGAACGTTTGCCGATGGTACGGAACGACGAGCCGCGCGCAGGAGGTTAATATCCTTTTAGCTTTACTAGCGCCGTCTCAGCGGACACTAACGGTACTAATATTTAACGACTTCGTCGGTAAGTACGGCGTCTAGTTCCAGGAGTATCTGCTGAGGTGACGTGCGCCACGATGCTGAAAGATATAACAACCACCTACGCACCACCCGGCACATAAAACATTTTGTGATCAGAAAAATTATCTCCTGTCCGGTCCTGTGTGTCTCGGTCCGTAACCGTAACTATATGCGCTCCTGCTCGTTAAAACATGTATTTTGTGCGAGTGGCTTAATGAAATCACTGATAACTTAATGTTAACAAGGAAGTCCTAAAATGACATTGCATATATCGAGTTTTAAAATTTGTATAATGATTCCGAGAGGAAGACAACAACAATGTTAGTTAGACGTAGCCTCGAAAAATATTAAAATTTATAAGAAAATATACATCTTATTTCTGTTTATTTTTTATTATGATAATTGTTTTCTTATATTTTCTTATATTTCTTTCTTTATTACGGAAATAAATTCCAATTACAAATAATTTTTTTTTCTTTTGCCATACAAGTATAAATACAAAACACATACAATAATTTGATTATATAATAAATATAATAATAATAATAATAATAATAACAACAGCATCAATAATAACAATAAAAATAATAACAACAACAATAACAGTAATAATAATAATTATCCTATCAATTAGTCGAGGGCGGGCTTTATCGTAAAATTTTCTTCTACTTCTTTTTGAGGTTACAGGCTTATCGAAAGCGTTCGTAAAATATTTAATAAAATATTGATTGGTCAAATTTTTTTAAAATTGTTATACAATGTTTTTCATACATTTTCCTTACTCGTTTGTAAAAGTCTCAAAAATTGGTAGGCACAAATTTTATATACATTTATGTACAAGTTTTTGGTCGCCATTTTGCCAATAGATCATTTTGTTCTTTATATATATATTTTATTTGGCATTATAAAAACATAGTAATTGAGAAATATAAAAATTATAATAACAATAATAATAATAATAATAATAATAATAATAGTGATATGAGAAATTAAACCAAACTAAAACCATAACTGACCAGTATGCAGTCCGCTGAAAATATTCGAAACGAATGGCCGTAGTTTGACATCGGAATGATGGTCAATATTAGTCAACGGTTGGAAACCGGATGACAAGGGTGTATAATATGGAAGGTAATACAAATAACTTGCAAGTGAAAACAATAATATAACAATTTATTACATTTTTTGATAATATTCTTACTTTCAGTCAGACGCGGACCACGGTATGAGTTTTAAAATACATAGATAAAACGGCATTCGTTACATTGAAAAGGAGAAGGCCACCGAAGCGAACGATAATCTACAGCACCGCTTGGAGCACAACCGGACGGAACAAAATTAATGTGTTACGGCGTCAGAACACGGTTACACAGACTGAACATAACTTGCTTAATTTTTTTGGTTTCTGTCATCGATTATGGTAAAAACACCACCCGGTGTTTCGTGTGCGCGATTGTGACCACGTCCACGAGTGAGAATGCGTTTTATGTTCTATTACTCTATGGTTCGAGTAGACTGTAGTGAGCGCAATGATTTGGGAGTCGCAAGAACCAAAATGGACGTTTCAACGGCATGAGACGGTTATCGGGTTAAAATAATGAACATTTTGAATTTGTAAACATTTATTAGCAGGACTCGTGAGTTCATAAACTAAAAAACGCATGCAATCCTGCACTAACATTTGATAAAATATGCATTCAAATATGCACTAAAAAATTAAAAATATGTATTTATATGCGCTAAAAATTTTAAACTATGCGCAAAAAAAATGTATAAGCATCTTTTAAAATAATAAGAATTATCCATTTATATGTTTAACCCTTTCATGCCCACTACTAGAAATCATTAATATTATATATATATTTTTCTTAATAAGAGTAACAATATTGCACCATAAATAATAATACATCGACTTATAAATTAAAAAATAATTGCACTAAATATTATGTGAAATATTGTTAAACATTTAAAATGTTATGTAAAATGAAATTGATGTTACATTATTATGGATTATTTGAATAGTTGCACTTTTCTAATCAGATTTCAAATAGCTTATTCTATATTTAATATAAATTTCCATATAAATCCCTACTAATTAGATCTTCACCTTTGACTTAATCCTAGTATAATAACCTTACAGGAGCATTTTAGCGTTATTATTGGAATAGAAAAAGCATTAATAATTATTTTTGGTTGTATTGAGATCACGGTCAACATACTTATATTTATGCATTGATCGGTGTTGGGTAGTTTAAAAAGTTAATAAGCTTCTTTACTCGTTACCCATTACTTAAATGTAATGAAATTACACGTCACTCAATTAATACAATTACTTTAATTTTCAAAAAACAAAGTAACTACCTTACTTTCAAGTTAAAATTGAAATAAAAATGTATTTATACATTAATCAGTATAACTTTTCACCTATATATTTTTAAATATAATACAGAACTAATATATTTTTGTAGAAAAATTTGTTGGATTGTAGGTATATATTTGTAAAGTGTTATTTCAGAGAAATAACTTATAAAAAATAATTTCCATTACATTTTTGTTGCACAATAAAAATTGTAATGAAATTATGTAATGTGTTACTTTCTGATACGTTACTACCTAACAATTACGAGTATATTGATATAATTTATGCAAGCAGAATAGTATCCAAAAATAAATAAAATCCATTTTAATGGGAAAATTAAATGTTCTTATAATTTATCAAACAGATCGACCGGTATCATTCTACAGTGCACTTTAATTAGTAATCAGATATGCATATGAATTGTATAAAGTTAGTTTGTACCACAGGAGTGGTTTCGTATACATTTTTTTCAGATTAATGTTTTTTTATTATGTGTTAGTGTTTTTAATCCGATATCTAATTCTAAAATGCACTTCACATATTAATCCGATTGTACACGTAAATCCATTACGTTTCGATATCCCATCGGTTTCAGATCCGATAAATAATTCCCATCCTGGTAAATTATTTTTCGAACGCAACAGAACACTTTTCTCATTACGTTCATTGCTTCAATGTAAGTACAATTATGCAATCATCCATTTTGTGGTTCAATACTCATTTTTACAGTAAATATAATATAGTATAAAATATATTAATTATACCTCAATCAATAATAGTTAATATTATTATAGTATTTATCGACGTAGACAAAAATTTGGCAAAATTGCAGTATAAAATGTGTAAGCCTCACTTATGTTTTAATACAATTCTAAAAACTGTTCTATAATTTTATGGATTTACATTCCAACATAATTATAATAATTTTGAATTAATTCTTATCGAAAAAAAGGGGAAAAAATCTCTATTTTTATTTCATAAGCCAATAATTTATTCTTTCGTTTAGTAAGTATTGAAGTTAGACGTAAATAAATGTATAATGTTTTGATAATAGTTAAATACATTTCCATAAAAACTTCAATATAAATACATAAATGGTTATAACTAAAATAGATTAAAAATAATAAAAATAATGTATTATTCAAATTCCAAAAGCTTAAATTTTAATGTATTTTTTATATTTTTGGATTTTTTACCACGATCCTAGTCGACAATTATGATTTCAATACCCAGTATTTTAATTTCTAATTAAATATTTTAATTTTTCCAAATTATTTTTAAGTCTAATACCTGTAATAATTGTACTTTTATTTTCCATTAAGTTTTTTTTTATTAATACATTTTCAAATTATAATAGATCTTCATTTTTTTTATTTAAATTAATACAAATAAATTAATTTAACTTTGTATTTTGAGGTATTGATCATAAATACATTTTTAACGTATTTTTTGTTTTGTTTAGTTAATTTTTCCTCTAATAATGACAAAAACCAATTTATAATTTGTTGTATAATTTATTTCATAATGCAAATCATTAATACATAAATTGGGTAATTTATATAAAATACTTGAAAAAGTAATAATTTCGAAGTTTATAATATTATATGAGTCAACATAATATAATTAAATATTTAAAACAAAAATAAGTATTTATTGTATATATTTTAATCACTTTTCCAATAAAAATTACTTAATTTAACTATTATTAATAAAATGTAATTAAATTAGGGTTTAAATGAGTACTTGCAATTTAATTATAATCCCAGTATCTTGATATAAGCTATTAAATTAATCTGAATAAAATTTATGGGATAATATTTAAAATTAATTATTTAATAATTTACGATATTACATTTATTATTCGTTATTATTATTATTATTTTTTTTTTTTGTTAAATATTTTTCCATTCCATATTAAATATTTTTGAAGATATACATTCTTAAATTTCCAAATCACGGAAGAATAAAAAACGCTTCTAAAATTCCCGATATTTTTTCATAACCTTATTATTTATTTTTATAATACTAGATAAAAATTTAACTATGGTGTTTTCATTGATTACATTTGATATTATTTATAAAGCACATTTTTTTACTGAAATTTTTTAACATAAAATCAAACCGTGTGTAGGAAAGATATATACACTAAACCTGTAAATATTTAGTCACATAAGACACGATATGGACATAATTTTTTTGTCAAATTTTAATTTATTTTTATATACTCTAAACTTACAGCGATCTTTTGGAATGCATAATACTAACAAAATAATTTAATAGGTTTCTATATTATATTACTTAACGTTTCACTTGATTAAAAAATAATAATTTACATATCAACAATCTGTTGAATTGAATATAAATTTAAAAGGTTGGTGAAATTCTATAATCTTATTATTAGCGATTAATAATATTTATATAGCTGTTTCAAAAAACAAAAAAAAATAATTATTATTTGAAATTAATTATTTGAATCCGCATAATTTTAAATGTGTTATTTATATTTTAATTTAAAATTTCAGAGCATTTTTTTTTTTTTAAAAAACAACCATAAAAAAAATATATTCACATATTTTTTGTGTACGTGTAGTGTCTCGCTAGATAAAAATTATTTTAATTTAATTTTTGTAAACTTAGCGTTTTTTCGAGATAACCGATAACTAATTGTTTAAGTTATTATAATATAATGCATATTGTTTTTGTGTTGAATTTGACAACTAGAACATTTAACAAAAATTTTAATTATTTAAAAGTAATGGCTCTACTGTTGTCTTATATTAGGTACTTAAGGTCACAGTTTATGTTCTGAGTTATGAATTACCTACTTGACTTAATGTATTAAAAAAAAAAAAAATGATATTTTTTAAAATTGGTATGATATATAAGAATACATTTTTCCTGACACAGATTGTTACGTGTTCATTAGTTATGTATTTTAATGTATTGATACTTCGAATGAACATTGTTGGAGAAATAGTACGAATCGTTTAGTTCGATGGTGTGATCTGAACTTTATAACGGTAAAAATGTTGTAATTTTATTCAGTTTTTGAATGGTTCTCAATCATCAATCAATGTAACTTTAAATTAGATAAAATATGCAAGTCTTCATTTTAACAAACAATAAATTTATACAATATAAAATTTTATGCGGTTCGCTTATACAAATATCTTTATAAATTAATGACTTTTCGATTACTTTTTAGAATAGATTGTTAATCGGATCGCAGACGGTTTTATAAAATGTTTTTCTCGTCAAAAAATGATGAAACTAAGTAAGTATACTACATCATTTTTATTTATTACAAATTAATATTTTAATAATTTAATATGACTTTATTATATCACCTAAAGCTACAAGAGTAGCTATAGTATAATTACTTATTTATAGGTACCCTATCAAATTTTTTATAGATTAAATTGTTTTATTAATTTTTAATTAAAATGCAAAACAATTAATAAAAACAAATATTTAAACATTAAATTATTCCAGACGGAAATTTAAACCCCTAGATTTTGTACTCAGTTCATTTAGATTATCATCAGTCTTCAACTGTATATTTCGATTGATGTTTATTAAGGCTCATCCATTCAACTTACTGTTTGATCAATTTTAGTTTTTTGGAAAAATATGATTCAATTGTTCCGTCATGTTTTGATATAATAAAAACTTTAATTGAATAAGCAAATGTAAAGCATTCAAATTTGTAGTAGGTAATAGATACCTAATAATTTCACCAGACTACAATTTATAGAATTAACTTATTAAATTAATATAATTAATATATAAATTGATTTATAACCTATTATTACTATTAGTAAGTATCAAATCTCTCGCTGATGATATTTTATAACACATTGATAAACTGATGAACTTTTGGATAATAAGTTTTTGGTGGTTAGTCAATAGATTAACAATAACAATATTACTTCAATTAATTTATTATTCGTATAAACGCAGTATAATCGTACAATTATAATATATGTTTGATTGCTTATCTAAATTTTCATGAAACGACGGCCATAGATATACTAAACGTACTTTATACTAAATGGTAAATATAATACGTAATAGAAGAGAATAATAATATTACATTTTACGAAATTATGCAAATCAAATTAGTAAATCCCACAGGGAAAAAAAGTCAATGGGGGGGGATATAAACCCTAATCTCCCCACGTGGGCATGCAACTGAGTACAATTAGAATACAAATTATTTTTCGATTAAAACCCTTCTCAACGATATTATTGTGGAATGACGACCCTGTGTGTAGATTTTTATAATGTTCTAATATTAAAAAATTAAAAAGAGTCTAAACATTTTATTATAATATTCTTTTTAGTGTTAAACAGAATAAACTAAAAAGACATGATATTTAGCAGAAAACAAATTGTTGAACAATTAAATATACGACTGATGTGTTTCTAATGTTGCATGAATGCTTTAGTGATGGTTGCAGGGTTAGACAGTATCTGAAAGAATATCTTAATATACGCTATGCAGTTATAATATTTTTAAGATATATTATACAAATAAAATTTTAAATAAATTAAAACAAATCACTAATACTCTTTACAACTTATCAAAACTTATTATTATATAACATAGTAAAATATTTACATTAGGTTAAATATTTTACCATTAAAATTTTACTCGTATTGCAAAATATGTTTTTTAAAAATTAACTAATATCCACTTTCAGTTAACTGTACATTAACATGAAATTCATAATTTTTTTTTTCAGACCATTATTATCAGGAAAACGAGGTACAAAATGGAACATGTGTAGATTAGTAAAGTGGACTCTAATAGTAATATGTTTGGGTATATTTTTCACGAGCCTGTGGTTTGTTATAAGTGATTATGAATATCAAACGGTATCCAAAAAACCTCAGGTACAAATTTAAAAACTTAAAATAAAACTGTAATCGCTATACCCATTCATTGGTATTCAAATAGTTGAACATTAAAAATATTGAATGGTATTCACAGTAACACTCAATATACAGAATAATCATGTATATATACGTATATATAAACGTAGAAAATTGATATGTATTTATTTGTAAAATGTTTTTAACTTCATTCATTGTATTTTAGTACATAAAATAATCATTTGCGAAATAAATATCAAATAATCTAAATACAACACGTGTTTAGATAATGCATATAAAACTTATTTTTAGATCACATCGATTTTTAATCAATACATTTGACGTGTTATTTAATTACAGGCGAGACATGCATTACACATTTCAAGTGCTGTAACAACAAATAATGATTACTTAAAGCAGTGTGCTCCTCAAGTGAAATGCGATCCATATGCGAAATATAGAAGTGTAAATGGATCTTGTAATAATCTGAAAACACCCACATGGGGTGCAGCAAATACACCCTTTCTTCGTATGCTTAATGCTAATTTCAGCGACGGTAAATAATAATATATTTATTTTGTTATAAACTACCTACCTACATGTAGTATTTCAATTATTACTTCATAATAAATCGCATATGGGTGGTTATAAAACAATTTCTATGTATTAAAATATTTTAATAATTAAATAACCCTAAATCCGGTAAATAACAAAATTAAAGTAATGAAAATAATATTTTAAAAGGTTATTATGAATTAAGAAAACAAACAAATGGAAGTGCATTACCCAGTCCCAGAGTAGTAAATATCAACGTGTTTCTGACCCGAGAAAAGTACCGTACGGATGAAAACAACGTACTTTTACTTCCATTTGGTCAACTGTTAGCCCACGATCTATCGGGTCTATCGAATGACGTTCCGGAGAATGAATTCAGTAAGTCCATGTGTTTGACGAACACCAATCATAGGGTTCGTTTCGATGTTTGTACATAAAAGTTAAGGTTTAAAATACTTCAGTCGGTCATATAATTTTTAGGCATAGTAACGGATTGTTGTACTGACGAAAACGCGAGAAAGACGTTCTCTCAGTGTCAGCTGGTCGTCGAAAATCCACTCGATGATCCGGTTTACAGTAAACACAATATATTTTGCATGGGATTAGTACGCTCGCTGACTTCGAGGAATTACAGCTGTCCGTTGTATCCCACGACGTTCGTAAGCAAATTTATTTACTAAACTGTTGGTTATTTCAAAGTACATGTCCCCAGAACCTCTATACGAAATTCGTATTTTTTGCTATACATTTAGTATGCAATTTGTTTAAATTTGTATGCCTAGTCCCAAGATTTTTACGAACCCTACTCTAACTCCAAATTTACATTATTCTGCATATAGCACATTATTCCTCATATAACATATTATGTGTATTGAAATTGTATAAATTATGTATTTACATGGAAATATTCTTGTTGACTTAATTTGGGTTAAATTTTTATTCATACTTATAATAAAACACCTCTTAGTTATAATTATAATTGTGTATTTAGTTTTGTATTGGATGGTCAAAATATTGGTAGTTGGTTAAAAAAATATTGATAAGTTTACGTTATAAATTACCCTAAAGTTATTCCTTATTTAATAATAGTAATCCAGTTACCGTCTATGAGACCTCAAAATATCTAGTCACCGTGCTTTTCGATTCGTAAAACAAATCATTATAAATATTTACTTATTTTTATATTAAAAAAATAAATAAATATCCGATATAAACATAGAATTAAATAAATTATTCAACAAATAAAAATTCGATAATTTACAAATTAAAATTGAATTTGTTATAAATGGATCTATGGGAAATCGAAGATCATTTTAATTTATAGTACACAAAATATCTAATGACGTATAGATGTTTTGTTATCTGTAAACTAGTATTGTCTAGATGCGGTGATACTATTTCCGTTAAAATCTAATTTATTTTTTTGGGTATCGCGTTTTAATTATTAAGTGGTCGTCCCTTGTCGACATATAAGTGTGCAACTGCATGACATAATCACACAATTTTAGCTAAAATTTTGTTTTAATTAGGTACTTCAGTCTTTATATTCAAAATAAAATAGAGTTCATAGAATAATAGAATAATGGACGTTCCAGTCAGTGTCATGAATTGTTATATAAATTGGTTAAAACAGACAATTTTTCAATATTTAAATGCTTTATTAAAATAAAATGTCCTAAGTAAAACGATCAATTTTTCTGGTGATTTTAAAAATAATCAAGGAGTAAATAAGAAAAGCAATATGCCTAAAAAAAAATTTCTTGCCCAAACATGTTTGATATGCTAGTAACTAGCAACTAGTTTAATTAGAATAACTAAACGTACATAAGATAATATCTAGAAAATATAAATAATTATATTTTAATATATTACATATAACAAGTAAATCTATTACCACCATAATCGTTTCCATTAATATGAATAGGTCCTTACATTGGTATTGTTAAATTGTTCAAATTTATAACACCTAGTACAATATGCATTTAAGATGTATGCAAAATAAACCATAGTGAAAATGGATATAGATAGATCAAACATGATATAGTAGGTGCCACTTATAAGAATTCAAAATATATACCTACTAAATAGTGAGACGCAAAAAACTGCACTGCTCTTATCGGTTCTGTTCGGGGATATTGGATGGTAATATTAACTTCAATATTAGTGTAAACTGACCTATAATCGAACTTTAGTTAAATGCTTAAAAATTAAAATATTGGAAAAAACCGACCAACAAAACACAGGTTATATTCATCCCTCAAAGTTTGATTATAGATCGTCTTACTCTAATATTATAATTAACATCACTACTACATTAGAACTTCTTCTTCTTATTCGAGTGCCATATTCGTTAACGAACGTTGGCAATCATGTTAGTAATTTTGTCTTTATTAATGGCTGTTCTGAATAAAGATATTGTTGATGTATTGAACCATTTTCGGAGGTTGTCCAACCAAGAAATTTGAGGTCTTCCACGGCTCCTTTTTCCTACTATTTTACCCTGAATTATTAATTGTAGTAAATTATATTTTTCTGGATGTCGCATAACATGTCCTAGATACTGAAGTTTTCGTGATTTTATTGTTTTCACTATTTCAAGTTCTTTATTCATTCTTTCTAGTACATTGATATTTGTTATGTGATCGCACCAAATAATTTTTAATATTCGGCGGTATATCCACATCTCAAATGCTGGAATTCGATTAATCGAAACTTTTGATTGAGTCCAAGTCTCTACTCCATAAAGAAGTACGGTGAATACATAGCAACGAATCATTCTAATTCGGAGATTCATGCTTAGTTGATGACTACAGAAAATATTTTTCATTTTCACAAAGACTGCTCTGGCCTTTTCTATACGACATCTTATTTCGTGAGAATGATCCCAGTTATCTATTAATGACTGTCCAAGATAAGTTAGTTTTTGTACTTTTTCTAAGGGGACATTTTTGAGTCTGAGGACATTTGTCGGATTTTGTTCTTTATCAATTACCATATATTTGGTTTTTCGGGCATTTAAATTTAGGCCTAAGTTTTCACTAGCTGTAGTAACTTTATTTAATATTTTTTGTAGGTCTTCTATGCTGCCAGCTATCAGTACAGTGTCATCTGCATATCTCAGGTTGTTAATAACCTTCCCATTTATGTTAATACCTTCTTCCGTATCTTCCAATGCTTCTGACATAATTTCTTCTGAATATATATTGAAAAGTATTGGCGAAGTGATACATCCATGTCGAACTCCTCTCCTAATTCTGAAGTCATTAGAGAGTGTATTGTTAATTCTGATTTTAGCTTGTTGATGCCAATACAAGTTTGTTATGAATTGTAGGTCTTTTCCATCTATACCAATTTTTCGTAGAACTTCGATCAGTTTTTCATGCCTCACTTTGTCAAATGCTTTCTCGAAATCGATAAAGCACAAATATACTTTTTGGTTGATATCACGGCATCGTTGAACAAATATTTGTATGCTAAATAAAGCTTCTCTAGTTCCAAGTCCGTTACGGAACCCAAATTGTTCTTGACTCATATGTTTCTCCGCTTTTTTGTAAATTCTGGCATGAATAACTTTCAAGAATATTTTTAGTGTGTGGCTCATAAGGCTGATTGTTCTATATTTATTGCATTCCTTTGCGTTTGGCTTTTTAGGTATTGCTACAAATGTGGATTGTAGCCAGTCATTTGGTATATGACCAGTGTCGTATATAGTGTTAAATAGTTCTGTTAAACGTGTGATGCAAGTGGAATTGGTCAAAGTCTTATGTAATTCTGTTGGTAGTTCATCAGGACCTTCTGCTTTTCTGTTTTTTGATTTATTTATGGCATTCTGCACTTCGGTTACCATTATCGGTAGACCACTACCATCGAACGTTATTTTGTGTTCTTCTGGCCGTATATCGTGGAAAAATTCTTTTTCCAAATATTGTTGCCATATCTCAAATTTATTCTCTAGATTTGTTATTAAATTCCCATCTTTATCTGTTAAAGTGCTTTCTACGGATTTTGATACTATTCTAGCTGCTTCTTTAATTTTTTTATGTAAATTGAAACTATCACCAACCCTCATATAATTTTCAATTTCTTTACATTCATTTGCGAAGTGTTGTTCTTTTGCAGTTCTTATTTCTCTTTTTATTTGTCTGTGGATTTGTTTATATTGTTGGTCATTTACATTTTTATGCGTTCTTCTTTCATTCATTAAGTTAAAAATCTTGTCAGTCATCCATGGTTTTTTTTTGGTTTTAGTAATCTGTCCTAGTTTATTTTTGGCTACTTCTGTAATGGATTCTTTAAATGATTTCCATGTTTTTTCGATGCTGACTTCCGGTTTTTCGTTTAATATCTTATCTTGGGTCAATTCTATTCTACTTTCAATATCTGCTATTAGTTCATCATGTACTTTCCCATCTGTCAGGATTTCTAAATTTAATTTATTTTTCCGAGTTGGTTGTTTTATTCTCTTAAGTCTAACTTTGAATTTTGCTAATAGTAGGTTGTTCTAATCTGAAGGAACGTTGGCTCCTGGATATGTTTTAACTGATTGAATTGCGTTTCTATATCTGTTGTTAATTAAAATGTAGTCTATTTGATTTCGTATTACGTGTTCTTTTGTATCAGCAGGAGATTTCCAAGTATATAACCGTCTTTTTGGGAGTTTAAAACATGTATTCATTACTGTTAATTTATTCTCCATACAAAACTGAATTAATTTTTCTCCACGGTCATTTCTTGTTCCTAATCCAAACTTTCCGACCACTCTTGATATTTCACCTTCTCCAATTTTAGCATTGAAGTCTCCCATGATTAAATTAGTGTCTCTACTTTTAGTATAATTAAGTGCTTTGTTAAGGTCTATGTAAAAATTGTTTATTAGGTCTTCGTCACAATCAGCAGTCGGAGCGTAAGTTGCTATGATATTCATCTTGTTTGTAATTGCTTCCAGTTGGATTAATAAGACTCTTTCCGATATTGGTATAAATCCGTTTACTGATTGGTTCACATCTTTATTAAGTATTATTCCTACTCCGTTTCTATGTCTGTTATCATCCTCTTCTCCACTATAATATACTGTGTGTTCATTAATTTGATATTTACCTGACTTTGGCCATCTCATTTCACTTATAGTGAGAATATAAATGTTAAGTCTGATCATCTCGTTAATTGTATTGTGAATTTTTCCTGCTTCGAGCATACTTCTGACATTCCATGTGCCTACTATTGTAATGTTGCTGGTCTTGTAGGGATTTCGCTAAATGACGACCGAGGAAGCCCTACTTCTACTTCCACTACCGAATCTGGAGTTCCGAGGTCCGTGATTAGTAACATTTTTAATTATATGATTATTTGCTAACATGATCTAAACTAGGGAAATTATGATAATGTAATGGTTTCCCGTTGCCTTTTACATCGCGATATTACTTATATGAAGTAAAGTGACTCGTCACGCCAAACTATCAATATTTGATTTACGCCGTGACATTCTAGTGAAGTTGTCGCTGCCCAACCACACTCTCTATTTGGTCCACGGGTATTTATTGGCTATTCATACCTATCCTTTATATCTAAAGGGATTTCGTGTTGGAGTTGAGATTCTCCTGCCTACTGAAATCGTCCGCCTGGGACTTTCCGCCAGTAGGAGCTCGGGGCCCCGGGTTCGCTATACCCGTAGTATAAAATACTTACCCTGGGAACTACTGGATGAAAATGTTCTATGTAGTACGTGTATCATACAGGGAAAATATAAACGGATTATCTTAAAAGAAAATATTTTGTTTCAAACCCGTCCATAATAAAGTATGTGAATTTAAAAACGAGATGGTTTTAAATAGCTGTTTTGAAACAGTAATATTTTTCTCTTCCCAACCATTTAGATCAAAAAACCTTTTTTTAATGTTTCATAAATACCACATAAGATCCATGCGACAACTTAGGTTTATTTATATACCTGTTTGGTATTTTTTGAGCTTAGAACAAAGAAAAGAAAGTCAAAATCAATTCGAGGTTGACGGTATAATAATATCTTTATGTGCTTGAGTTTTCAGTTTAATGAGAACACCCATTTCATCGACGCGTCTAACGTGTATGGTTCGAGTGAAAGTGTTGCCCGACGTCTCAGACTTATGGAGGGCGGAAGACTTAATTTTTCGTTAAGCGATGACGGTCAGATGTTCTGTCCGTTTCAAGAAAAAAAGAAATTTATAGAGATTGAGCGGCAAAATTCCTCTTTACAATACGACACAGGTCAGATTTATATTGTACATAGTATTTTTGTACATTTGTGGAATAAAAAGTTTCAATTCTTTTCTGCCACGAATATTTGCTCTATTGAATTGTATTAATTTTTTTTAGTAATTACATACTATTTAGAGTTTTTATAAGTTTTTTTTTTTATTAACAGAAACTTTAATTCACAGTCAACTATATCACATTTGAAATTCTAAAACGAACATTATATTTCAATTTCAAAAGATTTGGTTTACTTATAAAAAAGAAAAGGAGAAATTACTTTTTATGATGTGTTAGAAACGGCATGTCGACATGTAATTAAGTTTATTTTATGTCTTTGATTACTTAAGATATAGAAGATAAATCAAAATAAATCAATACTTAAATATGTATTATTTACCTATGTACAAAAGTAAATTAACATGTAATGAAATCTCTTATAACATTATTTAGTTAAAAATCACAATGCCTTTACCAACATTTATGACATAAAAAGTAAATTGATTTATAATATAATTTATTTGAAATCATTATTTTTAATATACGGTCTATAGGGGATCCCAACAATGGGAATCAAAACCTAGGAATATTAGTGATGCAAACTGCATTTTTAAGATTTCACAATTATATCGCTTTTGAACTATCAACAATAAATTCTCATTGGTCAGACGAAACGATCTATCAAGAATCACGAAGAATTGTCATTGGAACTATTCAACGAATAGCATACCAAGATTTTTTACCCATTATCATTGGTATGTATATAGAATATGATGGTAGGAGAGTTTTTTAAATTTGATAATATAACATGTAGTATGATTATAATTATACATTTTTCATATTAGGAGAAGATTATCAAGAAATATATGGGATAAATGGGAAAAATATTTACGATCCCATGATGGATCCATCGATGGCCATGGAGTTGACAAGCGCTGCTTTACGAGTTTTACATACAATCATACCGGTTCAACTGAAGTACGTGTACTACGATCATCGATGTGTATTGTTTACAATTATTGTGTGAATAATTAATTTTGCGTTTCTCGTTATAGTTTTATGAACAATGATTACAAAATCGAATCGTCAGAAAACATTACAGATTGGATGTTACGACCAGTACTATTACCCGTTAAAGATAATTTCGATAAACTGTTAAAAGGTTTTCTGGAGACACCCGGTCGTATGGTTCAACCCTCATACAATTTCTATGTAATTCTATCCGATATATCTAATTAGGTCGATGATAATTTGCACCATCTACATTTAGTAAACGTTACATATATATTTTACTCCTTGTATTCACCATACGTAACACAATTTTATAATTAATTATCAATCGAGATAACTGATTGACTAAAAGAACCAGTTTCGGAAACTTTTTTACTGTCGGTCGTGGTGCATTTTACATTTATTATTATTGTTTTGTGATTTTTGGCGTAAATTACACATGCCTACCACTTATAATGAAGCAAGCCGCATGTGATGTGAACGAATCGAGAACGTGTAAGATACCATAGTTTAAAAAAAAAAAAATTATAACGTGCTTGAAAATTAAAACACCGTAAACACAGAATGCGTTTTATAAATAATTTACTTCCCTTTTTTTTAATCTTTTTTTATTAATACTATACAGACCGTTGAGGCCATTTGCATACTTCCACCAAGTCTCTCCATCCTTTCCGGTCCATCGCGTCTTCATTTCTTCCCTTTAAGTATAAAAATAGAACAGTTTGATCTAATATTAAAGTTAACAACACAAAATGAGTTCTAATGAATACAGAATTGTATGTTGTTCATTTGTGAGACTAAAACTACATAAAAGCGTGGCATAATTTTAATCTGATAAATAGAGGATCAATATAAAAATAAATATTACATTTCCATTAGTCTTGTAATAATACGTATATACAGGTGAAAACAAAATCGAATTTAAAGTGATATAATTTAAGTATTAAAGATGTTTTATTTTATATATTTTATTCGATAACAACACAAACTAATCTAAAACATAAAATACAATAATAATATTTATTTTTTATTTTTATAGATATCCAACTATTTATTTAGTTTTCCTAAACAGCCTCCTTACACTGGACGTGATTTGTTATCACTCGATATCGCAAGAGGTCGTGATGTAGGCTTACAACCTTACACCAAAGTTAAACATTTATGCGGATTACCATTGGCTAAAAAATTTGAAGACTTGATCGACTTGATTCACATAAAAGTAAAATACACACATTTATAAAGAAACGTCAAATTGACTAATTTTAACAAAATTTTAATGAATGTAACTAATGTGACATTAATTTTAGGATATAAATAAACTAAAAGAACTGTATCATTCGGTCAATGATATTGACTTAATAGTAGGACTTTTGTTAGAAAAAATTAGCGACGGTGCCATTGTTGGTCCAACTACTCGATGTTTAATTTCCGATGGTTTCTATCGGTACAAAGCCGGTGATCGATTTTTCTACGACGTCCAGGGACAGCCAGGAAGTTTCACTCCTGGTAAGGTGAACTTGCATGAGACTAATAAATTTCAAAATTTGATTTACATATGTATATACTTACTCATGACGTTTACATTTTTTAGAGCAACTAAAAGTAATTAAAAAAATTACCCTTGGTCATGTAATATGTGCTATATCAAATGTGGATCATGTACAAGAAGCTATTTTTAAGTCAATTGATCATAAGTAATTATAATTAACTATTATAAAATTATAAATAAACAAATTTTAGATTCTAAGTGAATCCAGGAATATATTGGTTATAATAGGTGTTTTTTTTGTCTGTCTACAAGATTTTGACTTGAAAGATAGTTCCGATCATCACAATCATAAGATATTTCTGATAAAAAATCTTGTCTATTTATTTAATTTTGAGATGATTTATTTACGAATTTCCCAACAGTTTTCTCGATGATTGCAAAAAATTGACGAAAACTTATAAAAACAGCACACCATTTTTCGAAATAATTACATTTATATTCATTGTATTTTAAAACATGAACTATTGACTGAATATTTATATCACTGTTTACTATAAAGATAGAATATAATTTTAATTTTGACGATTTCATAGATTTTTCGAAACTATCATTAAAATAATTTTAGTTTGATAAAAATTCTGAAACATTAAATATATAATTCATCATAAATATATATTTAATCGATTGTAGAAGAAAAAAATTGATCTTCATAAAAAAAAGTCTATGAACGTTTTAATTTACATTTTGACATAACTAGAAATAAAAATAACGGAAATCTGTTATATTTTTAAAGTCAGTCAAGTCAATACAATTTTCAATTTTATACTTAAGATTAGAAAATTAAATATAAAAGTTTTCATATCATATCCTTTGTAATCTAAGAAAAATAATTCACAGGAAAGTTGCAAAATTGATTTATAAATGTTTCAGAATGAAATTTTGACGAAATCAGATATTTCGACGAATTTCCATTAAATGATACGATAGTTTTTAAGTTAAAGATATTTCATAATTTCGAAAAATGGCAATGAAGTTTGAACTTTTTAAAGTTGAAATTTTCAATTTTTCCATATTTTAGATTAGTTTTTTTAAAAACTTTCGTGGAAATTTAACCTATGAGTTTTAAGTATTTGGATCTTTTATTACACCAATAATCTTAAGAAATATAAACTGATACACCCGGTATTTTTTAGTTTTTTTTTTTAATAGCAATTGTACATTGGTTTCAAATTTAAAATACTAACAAAGTAATGGCCAATTCCTCTCTCTGTACCTCAACCAATCTAAGTATTTCACCCAACCAAGAATTCCCGCCCTTTCTATTATTTGCCTTGTTACCGCTATATCATTTAATGTTATTGGATTTTCAGATTATTTTCGACTATTAAATTGAAATGTGATAATGAATTCACTTTGGATTTCGAAGAATGGACGGAATCAAATAATCGACAAGAGTTTTAAATTATTCATTAACATTACAATTATTTTACTGAGCATAACTATAACATATTTATTATTCAAATATAATAATTTCATTTAAGTCGATTGAAATAATTTAAATATTGATTAGACTTATATGAAACGTTTTATCATTAACTTTCATTTGTTTTATTTATATGGATAATTTTGTTTAATATATATTCATATTGTACCTTACTTGTATATATCAAAATGATATGTATAAAAATGTATTGGTCAATAAATATGTTTATGGTAATCGTGACGGACAAGTTTTAATGATTTTCTATTTAATTCACAGATACCTGGATTAATTATATTCAAAAAAGCTTATACCTTACTAAATACTTATCAATAGTTTTATATTAATATAAAATTTTTAATAATTAATTATTTTAAAAGTATATTTCTTCAAGTTTATCAAAAATAAGAAAGTACGAGTATATACCTTATAGAAATATAAATTACATTATTTTTATAAGGTAGTTAATCGTACGTTATAATAACAAAAACATGTAAATTATGATAAACTTTATAATAGGTAGTTATCGGGATTTTACTTTTAATACTTAAACCATAACTAGGTTGCCAACAATTTTTAATTAATGATCATAATTCAATAACATGTAATTATATCATCATAATATTAAAGAATCATTTTTATAATAATGCTCATCATAAGCTACATAGGATTTTATAAAAATAATTATTTATTTTTTTATATAGTAGAAGAAATCAGCAAGTGAGTTTTGATATGGTACCAATATCGTATATTGGTATTTTTGATTTAATTTTTATTCAATTGATTCAGAGGAACATTTTAAGTTGAATACAAGCTAATTATTATTTTATTGTACACATATTACTACACGATGTTCAAAAAAATAACAAAAATTAAAAGCTAATTTAGATTTATTTTGTTGTAATAAGTAATAACTTATTATTATTAATATTCATTACTAATAAGTATACAATTTACGAAGATATCGAGCTTTTTCAGTCTTTAAAGCGCCATATAATAAGTTTTAATGATTGTAATAATAAATCTAAACGATTGATATAATTTAATAACTAAGTTGTAGTTACATTATATATTGAACGAGTAAGTTCATTCAAATTTAATTTTAAATAAATATATTGTTATGCAATATGATTAACAAATCTTAACCATTAATATTATTTTATTATTTGACTATTTGATAGAACTATGTTATTCCGTTAACTTAATTTGAATTCAAATAAAAATGTATCTTCCTTGTGTCTTTCATATAATATAGATATTAGACACCCAATTCATATGTTATTTTCATCATTTTTATTTTGTATTATGTATGTAAAAGTAAAATAAGTTTCCTCAAAAAGATTTAAACTTATTATTTGTTACATAATTATATCACCAGATACGGAAATAGGTTCAAGCATAAACCGCGTAAAATTACGTAACAAATATCATGACTATATTACCAGTTGGCCTTGGTCGATCCGAAACACTCAGTAACTAGTTTTTCCAAACGAGTCTTAGAGATTTAAGATTTTAAAAAAAAATCAACCGCTCTTCTGAAATTTTATTTTATTTCTATAATGACTAAGTTTTTATATAAAATACCTTAATGCACGTAAAGACATATATCCATCGCCGGTTGTTGTGTTAGTTTAAGGCATATAATTTTTAGATTAGGAAATCAACTACCTACATGCCTTTATCGAATGTGTGTTGTTCATCGCGTAGCGTTACGTTTGTTAATTTGTAGTATTTAATTATTCAAAAATTTTGAAGGTAAAAAATTGTTTTGTATATTATATAAACATATTTAAATGTTTCGATGAAATAAGATTTGGTATAATGATAAACATTCTTCTTTTTTAATTAATTTAATATTTACTTACAACTCTTATAGTTGTATTAATATTTAAATTCGTACACATAGAAGCTGTAAATAAAAAAATTTAAAAATAGGAATATTTTCTCGACGTGAAGAATTCAAGTAAATGTAACATGTCGAATCTGATACCTATTGTAAAACGCGGGTCGAATCGTGCTATGGTGCACAGGAACACGTGAACCACCAAAAAATATTACATAAAAAAATACTATATTGATAGGCTGTGCGGTTTACAAATCATGAAAACGCGTGCGATGTGCGTGAGCCGAGAATAATTAAAACTTAAAACTAATAAACCTATTCCACATACCACACGAAAAAATATTAGTTGAAGAACATAAACACAATATTAATCTTTTGAAATAAATGTCTAATGTTTTCAGACAAATAAATAGCTCAGATGAACTTTTACGAATAGTTGAGTGCAGTTTTTATACACTTAATAATTAGCACCTACAAGGGGTTAAGTATAGACATATAATACTTCAATCATTTTATGACAATGGCTAATCAATAATCGCAGCGAAGAATTCTGCATAATTGGTTATATGATTGTTCAAATATAATGTATCTTTGATTGGAGATCTAGTTCTAAGTAGAGGAAAAAAAGTTAAAAAAAAAACTTAATAGCCTAGATTAGAAAAGTAATCCATTTGGTAATTTAACCATTGTGACGTGATTTTGAGCTACTACCCAATCTTTATGTATTAAATATAAATATTATTGTTCCGTGTAATAATTTTTTCTTCCATTATTTTTCTTTTCCCTGTTGCATAGCAATTGCAATTCAGATTGCCAAAGTGATATCAAACAATATTTCTTAATGCGGTAATATTAAATTTTCATTAGTTAATTTCCGATTTTTATCTTCCACACGGACTTTTTTCTTTCCTCAGCCTTTTTTTAAATCACTTTTATCAGCAGTAATAATGGCGTATGTCCAGAAAGTCAAATATGAACGAACTGTTTTG